TACCTTTTCGGAGGTATACGGTAAATCGTATCTAATCTTCATGGTATAGCATTCTCCGAATTTTGGTATTTGGTGTAGAGTTTACAAAATATATGAAAAATGAAAACACTTCACACTTGATTTTAGTGACATGCACTAGATCGGAAGTAGCGAAAGAGCGATATACTTCCAAAAAGGTAGCTCTTTCATTTACCAGGCGTGCAAGGGCAATAACTCTAAAATGACTAAATAAATCTGCATGAAAATACCCAGGTGCACAACTTCACATGCTGATCAACATTCCTGTAAAGTTTCATGACTCTAGGTCAAATATTTTTTAAGCTATGTGCGACACAAATTGAGAACGGACTGACGGAAGGATGGACAAGGGTAAATCTAAATGCCCCCCCCCCCCTGAAATGGGGGCACAAAAAACCTTGCTAACACTAGAGGCTTTTGTTTTGGTCCAAATATCCTAGATATATGTAAAGAATGTTGTTAAGATGATTTCTAGCTCAAATTCAAATATGGGTCATCTTGGGTCAAAAAGAAGATCATACAGCCGAAATATTGAAAACCTTGTTAACAGCTTAGAGGCTACTGTTTTGGTCCAAATATCCTGGAAATTAGTCAAAAATGTTGTTTGTATGATTTCTTGCTCATTGTTCATCTGTGGTCAAATAAGAACCTTGCTAACACTGTAGAGATACTGTTTAGGTCCAAATATCCTGGGAAATAGTAAGAAAGGTTGTTTAGATGGTTTCTAGGTCATGTTTGAATATGGGTCATCTGGGGTCAAAAACTAGGTCATACAACCCACAATCACACAATACGTATAATTATATAAATGCGTGTATAAATATGTATCTTTTCTCTCTTTTTATGCTCCCCGAAAAATTTCGGGGGAGCATATAGGCGGCGCCTTGTCCGTTTGTCCGTCCGTCCGTCTGTCTGTCCGTACAAACCAGATCTACATTATGGGGTTTGGTCTATTGTTCTCATAACAATAGATGTCTTTGATGTCATTCATTCCGTTTCTCTTGTGGGGTTATTTTCTGCATTGTGGGGTTAAAAAGAACAAAAGAAATAACAAAAGAAAACCCCATAATGTAGCTCTGGTAAGAACATCCGTTGTCTTGTCCGGAGCATAACTTGAAAACCCTTGGAGATAATTTGTTGAAACTTCATACAGTGGTAGAGGGCATTGAGGGGGATTGCAGTGTCAAAGAACCATAACTCTATTTTGCCTGGTTTTTGAATTATCTCCCCTTATAGAAAAATCTTGTCCGGGGCATAACTCTAAAACTATAAGAGATATCAACATGAAACTTTGTAGGTGAATAGATCTCAATGGGTAGATGTGCAGTGCATAAGAATAATAACTCTTTTTGTCCTAATTTTGGAGTTATTGCCCTTTGTTAATTTTAACACTTTTAACTTTGTCCGGAACATAACTCTAAAACTATAAGAGATATCAAGATGAAACATTGTAGGTAGATAGATCTCATTGAGTAGAGGTGCAGTGCAAAAGAACCATAACTCTGTTAAGCCTCATTTTTGAATTATCTCCCCTTTTAGAAAAATCTTGTCCAGGACATAGCTGTAAAACTATAAGAGATATCAATATGAAACTTTGTAGGTAGATATATCTCAATGGGTAGATGTGCAGTGCACAAGAATCATAACTCTACCTTGCCTTATTCTGGAGTTATTGCCCTTTGTTTATTTTTACTTTTTGAAGTTGTCCGGGACATAACCCGGAAATCATAAGAGATATTATGAAGAAACTTTGTAGGTTGATAGATCACATTGATTTGAAGTGCAGTGCAAAGAACAGTAACTCTGCCTTGCCTAATTTTAGAATTATTGCACTTTGAACTTTTTCCAGGGACATAACTCTGAAACTACAAGAGGTGTACTTTCCTGTGTCCAAAACCTATTCGGGGAGCATCACCCGGCTCAAACCGGGCTCTTGTTTTTCTGTAATACATATGCGGCTATATATGGAAAGGCTTATCATATTTTTCACTTAACATATTATGTATTACTTTTGTGGTCTGTAATGATGCAATAACATTATGACTGAATTAAAAGCATTCCAAAGATCTTTGTAATTTCTTTAATAAAGGACTATTGTTGTTTTCAACATTGGCTACTAGACTTGTTCATTAAAAGTAAATCAGAATGGTTCCCTTTGATAAAACGCTAAGACATATTGGTGAATAATTCTAGAAGCAACTAGATCTGTAAACACAGATGTTTGTTCAACTGTTTATGGACTAAAACGTTGTTCTCGTTGTGTTGTTCTCGGAAGTGTTGTTTATACACCACATCCCATATACATAAAAACCCACAAGGTCATTTGAGGGAGTCCGTCTGTAACACTTTTGTGTCTGCTCCATAACTTTAAAACCACTTCAAAAATTTTGAAATAACTTGGCACAAGTAATCACTATTATAAGACGATGTGCAGAGCGCAATAATTGGGTTGCTACCCCCCAAGGTCAAGGTCACACTTTAAGGTCAAGTGCTAAAAAGTCTACATTTAGTGTTTGCTCCATAAATTTTAAACTGCTGAAAAATTTTGAAATAACTTGGCACAAGTAATCACTATTATTAAATGAATTGAGTTGCTACCCACAAGGTCACGGTCACACTGAAAGGTCAAGTGTTAAAAAGTCTACATTTTGTGTCCACACCTTAACATTTAAACCACTGCAATGTTTTTTAAGATAACTTGATAGAAATTATCATCATTATGACACAATGTGCAGAACCTAACATCCAGGTTGCTACCCCCAAGGTCAAGGTTAAATGTTTTTCATTACTTTTTAACTTTATGGAAAATTCTAAATAATTTGGCACAAATAATTACTATCATGAGACTATGTGCCTATAATATGCATGGCACAACACCAAGGTGATGGTTGGTTAAAGGTCAAGAAGTACTCATTTGTGTCCACTGCGGAAGGGGATTTAGCTGTCCTTCAGACTGCCTTGTTTATATATCAGAGAAAAACTGTCCAGAAACAAATACACATGTTTAATTTATTTTGCCCAAGAAGAAAAATATTTTTGTTGGATAAAAATCATGTTTATTATTGACATAACATTAATCGTAAGTGCATTTGTCAATTTCATTGTGAGAAAACTAATTTTTAGTCTTCTTTTTTTTTATTAAATCTGAAAAATAGTGATAAAATTACTTTTAAACAAGCATTAATTTTTTCTTGCATAAGATTAATCACTTGTGCCGGAGTGTGATTACTCATACATTTGACTGTTTTGTTTGTGGTTTCTTTCTTACATTTTTTACACAAATGGAAATTTTTATACATTTACAAATCAAATATATTTCAAAGGTGATATAGATTCCTGATACAACATTAATATTTCATTTAAATTTGCAGCATATTTCACTGCAAAAATAGGAATTAAATGTACTTTTTTGCAGATTTTATTTTTTCTTTCTTTGGGAAGTTGGTAGGTAGGTAAACTGAAAGATATAAAAATAATGAACTAATGCATATAATAAAACCAGCTCTTGTTTAAGATCATTGAACAAACTTCTAACTAATTAATTTATAATGTTCAATCTATTTCACAGAACCCTTTTATAAAGAAAACAATAGTGACACCTTTATATAAGGGTGTGGTGGGGCCAAATGTCCACCCTACAAACTTTTAAAAACAGAAGCCTTAAAAACATATGGGGGGAGCAATTTGATGTCCTAGAATCATCTGCAAAATTGTTGGGTAACCAAATGCATAGCCTAGTTAAATAAAGCTTTTAACCATCAAAAAAAATCTGTGGGGAATAGAACCAAATTGTTAAGGCTCTGACTGCAAGAGAAAATAGCTGTAACTTTGAAAGTTAAGCTGTGAAGGCCTTATCATGCAAGTACTGGTAGTTAATAACAGATAATCTATAGATGTTAATAAACATTTGCTGCTTTGATAATTACAGTCACTGAACAAATTGCTCATTAATTAATCAACTTTTCAGAACATTAATATACAGTTATGATGACACCTTATGAAGAAAACAGAACAAACTGCAAGGAAATTAATTAAATAACAATGTATGTCTTTTAAAGTTTTTTAGAGGGGCAAAAGTCTGTCCTTTTAAAAACCTGAGTAGGCAAAATAATGGGGTAACTGTCAAGAGGAAAATGTCCTAGAATCACCTGGCTGCAAGAGGGTTAGCTATAAATGCGTGTATTGTAAACTTTAATTTAGTAAATATCAATCAGAATTACTTAGGTTCTGGAATAGATAATTGTTAGTGTAATTTGTTGTAACGAAAATATTGTTAACTGAAATGAATGTCCCGGCATGGCATTAAAAGTGTGGCTCCTGAGAGGCTCAAATACAGGAAGGAAGGGTTTAATTACACAGCAAGCTAGCAGAGACTTTATGTAAAACTGCTCAGGATAATGACAGCAAGAATTATATGTTATCACATTAATTTAATTATTGACATGAATTTAGCATTCTTCTTGGGGAAAATATTCCTCCTTCATTATATTGGCAACTGGTTAAGGCCAGGGAAACTCAGTTAATTGATTGTGGATAACTTCTCAACAAACATTGAAAATTTCCTTGTTTTTGTGTTTAAAATTGAAATTAAAATTTTTGTGTTTTTTTTTGTTTTTTTTTTTTTCAATTTTAAAGATTATTTGAGACAGGTTTTTTGTTAGCTTTTTTTTGGATTTTTTTTTTTCAATTTACTTTACATCATAAGTAAATCACAGACTCATATTCTCTTGTATTTTTTCCTGAGAAAAAAAAGTATTATACATGTTACATGGATTGGAACTATATTATACCAAGTCATTGTATCAAAAGCTTATTGCTTCGGTATAATAGTTGTCTATCTAGACAATATACTGTTACTTTGTCATAATACAAATTATTACTGATTAAAAAAATACATTATCTCTGGCTGTTTTCAACTATATGAGATGATCTCCCACGTATTTGTCACATGGCTGTAACTATGAAGGAGGCAAATTACTTCAATTATTTAACATGCTCTATCATTGGTCTAAAATCTTAAATCAACACATCCTTTCTGCTAATCAGGCAATAAATTAATGTTTTAATTTATTATGATTTACTGCTGAAAATAAACTGGCATGCACTTATTGTAACAAGCTTGACAAAAAAACGCAGATAAACCCTGGCTGGATGTTTAAAGATTTTAAGTATAAAAGGTAGACCTAGTGTCTAGACATACAGTCTGCTGTCTAAACAAGCTATCAGATTCACGTCTGTCGGCTTGGTATTGATTCACCTCTCGTGTATTGTTAATGTAGTCTCAAACATGGGGAAAACTGCCGTCTTTACAGTCACTAGTGTCTCTTCTTATCTACAAGTTTCTGAATTTTAATCAGGCTTGTTGTTTTTAACCATTTTTTATTGGGATATAAATTATTATATTTCCAAAGATTACTTTTTACTAAAGGTTAGTCATATTTACAACAGACGGTTTTTTTTGGAACATTATATATGTGTGTGTGTGTGCATGTGTGTGTGTGTGTGCAGACTTCATTTGGAAAGAATGTTTTTTTTGTGAAATGTCGGATACTATGTAAGGAAGTTAACCAATGAATTCACCTCAACTTTTGACAGGTATGGCAAAAAAATTTCTTGATCAAATTAAAATTGACGTGAACATCAATTCACAATTCAGATAAAATGATCTCTTATGCTAACATGTGTGTTCTTTACAAAAATGGAAAGAAGGTAATGTAGGCTATTTTAATAAAAATATAATTTAATGAATATTTTAGCTTGTGCTACACAATAGAGGGTACACAAAATATCACTATATCTCATCGTGTAGTACAATAAGTTAGACTAACCTCAATATGAGCAAAAATATTTCAAACATCAAACTTCAGAAAAACACTTGAGTCCTACAGGGCTTCACATGTAATATGCAAAATAAATTAGGTACAACTGAGTTCACTATTTTTATCATCCTGATTTAAGAGCTATTTCTGCATATTTTGATGTATAGAATCTACCAATAATCTACTTAGAATATTAAATTTCTGTGGATGGTTAGGCTAGGTAAAATCCCTCTAATTATACATTTGAAAATCTTGAACCTTTCTTATTTTAAATTTTCTTAAAGATTAACATAAACTCAGAGAAATGTCTCAATGCAGAACCAGTTTGTACGTTTTAGTACTTTTGCATATTTTCTAGCATTAATATGAATAGATTTAAACTATGTTGATGGGGACTTATAAAAGATAATTCATATAAAAAAACTAACTCGGCCCTCCGAGTCATCTCGGCCCTGTACCCACTTGGCACAGTTCAACTTTGTTTAATCTGATTTGATGAACGATATGTTACATTCTCTCTGTTCTGTATTAAATTGTGTGAAAAAAATCAAATAGTTTATACCAGATCAAAAGCCTAGTGACTGTCATCCAATTAGACAGTCAATTATTGTGAGGACAAAACCCCAGACATCAAAACACCACACCTCAAAATATGATAGAGTGGACAAAACTCCACACCAGTAAATATAACCCCACACTTTCTAATTATTTGTTATAATGCCATACAATTCATATGATATCAAAAGAACAAAGAAAAGAACAAAACAGATTATTTACTAAAGTTTGATACATTATTATAGTTACTTTATTTATTTTACACAGTTTCTTTGATCATGATAACTAATGGTATGTTATATTTTATTTCAATATACAATAATTTTATAATATGATTGAATGATAGTAGACTATACACATATTACAAACCAAAGGGTAAACATTCAAATATTACAAACTGTAAGGGTAAACATTCATTAATCTTAATTAACATTAATTATTCTAAGTGTCAACAATGTTGGTTATTTTATTGTCAATCAAAGACCTATACAAATTAACAATAAAAAGTGTGGGGTTATGTCCACTCTGTGGGGTTTTCTCCAATCTATAACGTTTTGAGGTGTGGCCCAGTTTTGATGTGTGGGGTTTTGTCCGTCTTCCATGATAAACATTGATGTTTATTGTAGATTATAGGTGATAATTGACTACCTAACCAGATTATAATGTAAATATACCTTTTGATCAAGCTTATTATTTAACTAGTCCAATTATAGACATCCTTACATATTGGTACTTTGCTAGCGAACTAACACTAAACAGTGTTTAATATAATTACATTTATTGTTACAAAATTCAATCTAAAAACTTTCTTTATGGACCAATCATAAAATATCTTAAACAAAGATAATTTCAAACAATACCGTGTTGTCTTTTTATGCCATTGCAGCATTTGTGATGTGGTGGCATATAGCGATTCACCTGTGTGTGCGAGTGTGTGTGTGTGTTATTTAGATGTACATGTGTGTTATTAAGATTATAAAGTTAAACTTAAAAAATCTTCTTGTGAAAAAAACACTTGTCCAATTCCAACAAACTTGGCAGAATTGTTCCTTGGGTAAAGAACTTCCAAAATTGTTCAAAGAATTTGATTCCATGCAGAAATCTGGTTGCCAGGGCAACCAAAAGGATTTTAAGAATGAATTATAATAATCTTCTTGTAAAGACCCACAAGGCCTAGAGCATACATATTTTGCATAAGGCATTGTCTGGTAGACCTCTACCCAAGATAATGTTAAAATTATAGCCCTGGGGTCAAAATTGGCCCCGCCCCAAGGGTTATTGATTTTCACATATAGTAAAAACTAAAAAATCCTAGTCTAAATGTACAAGGCTTAGAGCTTTGATATTTGGTATATGATATCATCTATAGGTCTTCTACCAAAGTTGTTCAAATTTTGCCTCTAGTGTCAAAATTAGCCCCACCCTGGGGCCACAGGTTTTCCTTATATGTATACAGTAAAAACTTAAAAAAATCATCTTCTCTGATTGACAAAAGCTAGAGGTTAGATATTTTGCATGAAATATTGTTTATTGGACCCCTACCAAGATTGTTCAAGTTACAGCCATAGTCAAATTTGGCCCTGCCCCAGGGGTCATTGATTTTCCCTGTGTGTATATATAGTAAAAAAAGGCTTAGAGCTTTGATATTTGGTATTTATAATCATCTATAGGTCCTCTATCAAAGGTGTTCAAATTTTGCCTCTCAAGGTGTCAAAATTGGTCCTGCCTCAGGGGGTCATAAGTTTTCCTTATATGTATACAGTAAAAACTTAAAAATCTTAATCTCGGAATTGACAAAGGCTAGAGCTTAGATATTTTGCATGAAACATTGTGATGTGATCCTCTACCAAGATTGTTCAAATTATAGCCCTGGGGACAAAACTGGCCCCACCCCGGAGGTCATTGAATTTGATTATGTACATATAGTAAGAACAAAAACTAAAAGAAATGCTTTCTGAAAAGGAGAAAGCTAGACATGAAACATTGTCTGGTGGACCTTTATCAAGATTGCTTGAATTAAACCCTTGGGTCAAAATTTTGCCTTGCCCAAGGGGACAAGTAACTTTCATGTCTTTTGATGTACAGCCATGGACCATGTTCAGAGTTTGAGATGTAAAATCATGCATGCAGCTGACCTAGATTTTGACAAATGACCTTTTATGTCATTGATGTACAGCTATGAAATTATGACCATGATGTAAAATTGAACTTTGACATCAAAGTATGGTGTTCCTACACTACTATTTAGTGTTGTATTAATGCGGTGGCATAGCATTTTTATGCTCCCGCCATAAAATGGCCTGGGCATATAGTGTTACCCTGTTCCGTCATTCTGTCATCATCAGTTTCCATTCATTATCTTAGTAACCTTTGCACACATTCAACTCAAATTTGACATATGGATATATCATAAGAAAATGCAGGTCATGTTCAAATTTGGTCATGGTCCAATGCAATCTCCTACGCAGTGATCTCCCCTTATCAGTAGATCTCTGCCATCACAAACATCAAATAACAAGATTTTGATATTTTATTTTTTTTTTTTTTTTTTTTAATAGAGGTATTGTGATAGTCGCGGCGACGTTGCCGTTGCCATCCGCAAACTTGTACCTGGATCATAACTTTTTTAGTTCTTGGTGTATTGTCTTTATACTTGGCCACAACAACCCTTGGGACAAGACCTTTCAGTAGACCACACTAACCTTGACCTTCGTCCATAAATGACCTTGACCTTCAAGGTTAAAAGTCCAAATTTGGCTTGTTCTTGCTATTATTGGCTGTAACTTTGTTATTTTTGAATGGATTGTCTTCAAACTTGAACATAATAATCTTCAAGGATATCCTTTAAAAATAAGCAGATAGACCTTGACCTTCACTGATAAATGACCTTGACTTTGAAGGTCAAATTATTGAAATTTTCATTTTTTTGGCTATTATTGGCTGTAACTTTGTTATTTTTGAATGATGACCTTGACCTTGAAGGTTAAATAACTGAATTTTCTCAGATTTGTGCATTAACCTTTCACCCCATGAGCATATTGCGAAAAATGGCCGTTTTCATTGAAAAGCCTCCTGTAACAAGTTCAAACTGCTATGAAACTTTGAAAAATGCTTCAATACTGATGAAATTTGGCACAAATGTTGACTAGACCATAGCCTCTGTAACAGCATGCTCAATCGTAAATTTCCTATCACCATGGCAACGGGGGGACGTCTCAAAATTGCCAAAAATCACTACATGTATTTTGCATTGTTTTTTTCCATCAAAACTGATTTCAAAGTGCTGCAACTTCTCAATGAATTGAGATAGAGTAAAAGGCTTTTCAGCGTCGGTTACTAGTTACCCTAAGATCGACCTGAGGCCATTTTTAGCCTGTCACATGTCCAAAATTTTCTTTGCGATGAGGCGGACGGACGCCCCCCCTTTAAACCCCCCAAATAGAAGGGCCGAAAAAGTGGTCACTTTTTTTAACAACATTTCTCAAACAAAAAACAGTGTTTGGGGCCTATATATCACTATCATCATCAACAACAACATGTATCTATTTATAGAATGTATTGCGTGTATCTATTTATAGAATGTATTGTATGTATCTATTTATAGAATTTTCTATTGATAGAATTGCGTGTTTTTATATATAGAATTTTCTATTTATAGAATTGCGTGTTTCTATATATAGAATTTTCTATTTATAGAATTGTGTGTTTCTATTTATAGAATTTTCTATGTATAGAATTTTGTGTGTTTCTATTTATAGAATTGCGTGTTTCTATTTATAGAATTTTCTATTTATAGAATTGTGTGTTTCTATTTATAGAATTGCATGTTTCTATTTATAGAATTTTGTAATTATAGAATTGCGTGTTTCTATTTATAGAATTTTCTATTGATAGAATTGCGTGTTTCTTTTATAGAATTTTTTATTTATAGAATTGTGTGTTTTTATTTATAGAATTGCATGTTTCTATTTATATATATACAGTCCGACCCTGGTTATTCGACAACCCTTTATTCGAATACCCGGCATTATCCGAAGTAGATCGGCGGTCCCGTTTTTCTCTCTATCTAAATCAATATAAATATGAGCGTATTATTCGAAATGCATTATCCGAACACCTCCTATTTTTTTAAGTAAAATTTCGGTCCCGATTTTACAATTATGAAAGAATTTCACACCTATTTTTCAAAGCCAGCCTACTTATTATTCGAAGCCAGTCTAATTTGCGCAGATCCACTCGCTGACCGGTCGACTTGTGAAAAATATCAACAGTCATGTGTGTATTTAGACAGTCATGATAATAACTCTAATCAACTTTAATTACCGAAAAATGAAAAGCAGTGCACTGTGTCCGATTTGTCACTGTTAATGCAATAATTTTCATACATACCGTATATGTAAATTTGTCAAAACATCCAAAATATTTTTTTCATTAATTGTAACCCTACATGAGAGCCTTTCATAATCCTCATCCAAAATACCAGAGTTTAGCTGTACATACCGTAGTGACAACACGGCCATTATCAAGGCTTTGCGCGAAACAAAACGGTACATAATGTAGAATAAAATGCAAGTATTTATGTCTTCAATGTTAATACAATAATTTTTACCCATCTTTTCTTTAATATTTATTTTTCTCAATTGATTACAGGAAGTAAGTGTGTTGTAAAAGGTAGTTTTGCTATGATTGCTCAAAGTGGAGTAGTTTTCGTCAATCACAATATTCCGATTTCGATTATTCGAACCCATCGATTATTCGAAGTAAATATTCAGTCCCAGGCAGTTCGAATAAACGGGGTTGGACTGTATATATATATATAAATGAGTATATTTGTATGTTCAAAATATATAGACAAAACTAATGTGACAAGACAGACCGATTAAATTTATAAAAAGGAAACGTTAAGATTTGTTCAAACATTTCTTTGTTTGCTTATAGAAAAAATAAAAAGTCGAGCGTTGCCCCCGCCCGGAGATGGCTCTTGTTTGATAAAATATAACCATATAACAGACATAGGTACGAAAAGTTAAAAATTAAACAGAAAGAGAAAAATGACATTAGATTTTCTATGTAACGGTCGATATTTACATTTGAATTTCGACGTTTCGTCATGTGACTTTCATCGTCATGGGACGTCTGTGAAGGCAGTGATTACAATTCTGCCGAGGGAGGTAATCACTGTGAGGAGTTTGGGTCCAATGATTTTTGACAGAGTTATGCTCCTGGATGAAATTTTCAGTTTCCATTCATTATTTCCCCAACAGTATAACACATTCAACTCAAATTTGACATAATTATGGATACGTCAAAGGAATGCACAGGTCAAGTTCGAATTAAGTCATGGTTCGATGATTTTTGGCAGAGTTATGACCCTTTCACTTTGAAAATAATATAAAATTTTCAGTTTCCGTTTATTATCTGCCCAACGGTATTACACATCCAACTCATATTTGACATATGGCTACGTCAAAGGAATGCACAGGTCAAGTTCAAATTTGTCGTGGTTCGATGATTTTTGGCAGAGTTATGCCCCTTTCACTTTGAAAATAATATGAATTTTCAGTTTCCGTTCATTATCTCCCCAAAGGTATTACACATTCAACTCAAATTTGACATATGGATACGTCAAAGGAATGCGCAGGTCAAGTTCATATTTGGTCATGGTTCGATGACTTTGGCAAAGTAATTCTTTTAACTTCGAACAAAAGGAAATTTTTAGTTTCCATTCATTATCTCTCTAATGGTTGTACACATTCAACTCAAATTTGACATATAGTTACATCTTAGGAATAAGCAGTTCAAGATTGAATTCGGTCGTGGTTCAATGATTTTGTACAAAATTATCACTCTTGTCATCTAATAGACTAGTTTTATGATATAGTATGGACAATCAACAAGCTTTAAAAAGTATCTAACTTAATTAGATATTGAACTGATTCGCAAGTGTTTAATCAAATTGTCATGAATGTAAATGATAATCGCATAATAAATATAGTGAATCATAAATGACATACTTATGTACACGTTTATTATTTAATTATGGCCTGCTGATTAGTGTACAGGGGATTTAATTGGAATGGTACTATCATAGCACAATATAATTGGGACAGGGTGGCAATCTAATTTTAAACTGAAAATAGAGAACAATAGAGTTCATTCCTTAAAAATAGAGGAAGGCATCAATGACCCTCTGTCTAAATCCACTTTCAATAGCAACAATTGACTTCAGTAGCAAGCATTGACTTTCAAACGCAACCAGACACTTCCATAGTAAATATTGACTCCAAAGCAACCAATGATTTCCATAGCAAGTATTGGCTTTCCAACTGCAACAGTTGACTTTCCATAGCAACCATTGGCTTCCCATAGCAACCAGTTATTTTCATAGCAATCATTGACTTTCCATAGCAATCAGTAACTTCTATTGTGACTTTCATAGCAACCTTTGACTTTCCATTGCAGCCAGTGACTTTTATAGCATTTACATGCCAGCTTGTGACTTTCATTGTAAATATTGACAACAAATATTGACATATTAGCAACAAATGATTCTACCATTGACTTACATAGCAACCATAAACTTTCCATAGCAACCAGTGATACCAGTTGAAGTTTTAGACTTAAAATCTGCTATTCATTAATAGTTGTCATTAAAAGCTTTCATAATCAGGTGAGTGATATTAGGGTCATCATGGCCCTCTAGTTTATACAAAAATATGTTGTTGTTGTAATTTCAGAAATTGAGATATTTGTATTCAGGTATCTATTTAGCTTCTTTTTTTTGTAGAAAAATTTAGATGCTGTTGTCCATTGCTATTCAGAAACTGTAACATTGGATATTATTTTTTTATTATGGAGTGTCTTCATACTTTGACACAACAACCCTTCTGACGAAACCTTCAAGAAGACTAGACTGAACTTTACCTTTACACACAAATGACCTTGACCTTTAAGGTCAAATATTTGAATTTTGCTTGATTTCAATCAGACTAAAGTTAAGATCTACTTAAGTTATTTCTTGCATGTAGATCTGATTGCCACCGTATTTGTTTCATCTTCATTGTGATTCAGATTTCCCAAGAAAGCTACTTTTAGCCATGTAATATAACCATCCTTTACAGAAATCACTGTTACTAAAAATAGAAATTCAGTTTCAGCTCAATAAATTTTGTTTGCTTAGGCCTATTGACACCAAACTTGGTGTATATGTAGCTTACATCAAGAGGCAGCTTGGGATTGCTACCCAGGTGTCTGTGATCAAGGTCAAGGTCACTGTTACTAAAAATAGAAATTAAGTTTCCGCTCAATAACTTTAGTTTGCTAAGGCCTATTGACACCAAAGTTGGTGTATGGGTAGCTTATATCAAGACGCGGCTTGGGATTGCTATCCAGGTGTCTGTGATCAAGGTCACTGTTACTAAAAATAGAAATTCAGTTTCCGCTCAATAACTTTAATTTGCTTAGGCTTATTGACACCAAACTTGGTGTATGGGTAGCTTATATCAAGACACAGCTTATGATTGCTACCCAGGTATCTGTGACAAGGTCAAGGTCACTGTTACTAAAAAAAGAAATTTATTTTCCGCTCAATAACTTTAGTTTGCTTAGGCCTTTTGACACCAAACTTGGTGTATATGTAGCTTATATCAAGACGCAGCTTGGGATTGCTACCCAGTAGTCTGTGAACAAGGTCAAGGTCACTGTTACTAAATATAGAAATTCAGTTTCCGCTCAATAACTTAAGTTTGCTAAGGCCTATTGACACCAAAGTTGGTGTATGGGTAGCTAATATCAAGATGTGGCTCGGGATTGCTATCCAGGTGTCTGTGATCAAGGTCAAGGTCACTGTTACTAAAAGTGGAAATTCAGTTTCCACTCAATAACTTAAATCTGCTTAGGCTTATTGACACCAAACTTAGTGTATATGTAGGTTATATCAAGACTTCAGTTTCTGCTCAATAACTTTAGTTTGCTAAGGCCTATTGACACCAAACTTGGTGTATGGGTAGCTTACATCAAGAAGCAGCTTTGAATTGCTACCCAGGGGTCTGTGATCAAGGTCATGGTCACTGTTGCTAAAAATAGGAATTCAGTTTCCACTTAATATCTTTAGTTTGCTAAGGCCTATTGACACCAAACTTGGTGTATGGGTAGCTTATATCAAGAGGCAGCTTGGGATTGCTACTCAGATGTGGTTTTGATCAAGGTCAAGGGCTTGTTGCTAAAATTGTAGTTTCAGTTTCCGCTTAATAACTTCAGGTGTAACTTTTGTAATCGCAGAGTGTTTAAAAAAAAATTGATTTTTAAAATGAAATATAAAAGTAACAAAAAAAGAAAGGAAGGAAAGAAATTGAAATTCAAAAGAACAAAATATATTGAAAAAAAAACGCAAAGTAAAAAAAAAAAGGAGAAAAAAAATTATCAACATCATCATTATAAATAACATGGCAGAGCGTGTTCGAACCTATGAGTTCAAATTATTTAAAGTTACAGTGGCGTTGATTTACCAACTAAGCCATTACAATAGTACACATTCTTCTTAGAATTAAACTCTAAAAATTATATAGTTGTTGACACTTCCAATCTCGGATAATATGCACACTAACCCTTTGAATGGACTTTCCCATGTACCATTTAAACCAAATTATCATCCGGGTACAATACCTACCGGTATTAAAATTTAAAAAAAAAAAGAATAACACTTTTTTTTCCTGGATTTTTTTTAAAGATTTGTTCAAACTTTATGATTGCTTTTAGAAAAAGTAAAACAAGTCGAGTGTTGCCCCCACCTGGGGGTGGCTCTTGTTTTAATTATTTTCAGAGTGACATTTATCTTCCCCAGGTATTCGCTAGACGAGGCATTCATGGAATGAAAATGACAGATGTTTTGAATCCTACTGTTTGCTTTGGAAAAAATGTTGTACAATCCAAAAGTGTTAAGGAAAGTATGTGTAACACTGATCTTCCAGTGGCTTTAAAGGAAGATGTTGAAAGTGGAAGTAATGATGATTTAGACACTGACAAACTGGTAAGTAGTAAAAGCAATGTTGGGGGAAAAAAGAACAAAGGCAATTACGATTAAGAATAGAGGTTAGGTGGTTAATAGTGGTTAAGCTTTATTATAAAAAGGAAGTAATGGTCTATTTGTGAAGATGTGAGCCTCTCAATCCAGGGTATGAAAGATCTTAGATTAAAGCCTTGGTATTGTCCTCATAATTATGGCAGCAAAACTTCTTTGTGAAGGATGATTATGGTAGCATGACAAGTAAAAAAAAACTAACCTATTTTATTGGCTACTCAGCAAGGCCATATACCAAAATATTCCCAGATGTTTGTTGTTTTCAAAACTGCAGGCATAATTTGGCATAAATGGTGGAAAACAAAGAAATCCAAGACGGTTGAGGTATGAATCACCTGTAGTGATAACTCTAGTTATTATTGGCTGGGTTGCACTGGTGCAAACCCTGGTTATAGTATGGTGAATGTCGGGCAGCGAAGAAAAACTGTTCGTAACACTGTTCTCAGCAACTATTAGTAGCCTCTTGATATTTGGCATACAGCATTGATACATGGTCCCATACCATGGGATTCGATTTCAGGTCTGTTGCTTATCCACTTCCTGTTAAGCAACTTAGTTAAATTTTCGACATTAATGGTCAATGGTAGGAAATTTTCGTAACAGTTTTCCCAGCAACTACTTATCACAGCCTTTTGATATTTGGCATACAGCATTGATACGTGGTCCCATACTGTGGGATTCGATTTCAGGTCTGTTGCTTATCCACTTCCTGTTTACCGACTTAGTTAAATTTTCGACATAAATGGTTAATGGCAGGAAATTTTCGTAAAAGTTTTCTAAGCAACTACTTATCACAGCCTCTTGATAATTGACACGTGGTCCCATATCGTGGGATTCGATTTCAGGTCTATTGCTCATCCACATCATGTTTACTGACTTAGTTAAATTTTCGACATTGATGATCAGTAGCAAATTTTTTTCGTAACATCACAGCATCATGATATTTGGTATACAAATGCAACCTGGCCTTTTCTGTATTTGACCCATTTTTTTACTGTATTGTCCTGAAAGTTTGATGCTTTGGAGAGAACAACTTTACACTTTTACCTAGTTAATAATATAAGGCAATAGGTCTTACATATTGTTTATGTCTCTCCCTTACCAGTTCCTCCCCCTGACGGTTCTCTCCAAAACCGTTTCCTCCCCTGACGGTTCCTCCCAAATTTGAAATATGCAGACAGTTCTCCCCCATTTTTAGCTCGACTATACAGTATATGGAGAGCTGCCCTACTCGCCCTGGTGTCCGCGTCCAGATTTCAGATACAAAGTTTTGGTGCAGTAAAATATTTTTCACTATAACTTTGTCATTTCTTAAGGTATCAACTTCAAACTTCAAATATATGTTCCTTATCATCAACCACATCTTATGTGACAAGGTTTATAACTCTAGCACCAATATTTTTAGGTTTATCTCCCCTTGAACTTAGAATTTTCCTCAAAAAATACTATTTTTTACTGTTACTTCATTATTTCTTAAGGGATCTTGAACTTCATACTTCAAATATATGTACTTTATGATCATCTACATCTTATGTGACAAGGTTCATAACTCTAGCACCAATATTTTCAGATTTATCTCCCCTTGAAAGTAGAATTTTCCTTAAAAAATACTACTTTTTACAGTAACTTCTTTATTTCTTAAGGGATCAACTTCATACTTCAAATATTTCAAATATATGTATCTTATCATCATCAACATCTTATGTGACAAGGTTTATAACTCTAGCACCAATATTTTTAGGTTTATCTCCCCTTGAACTTAGAATTTTCCTGAAAAAATACTATTTTTTACTGTTACTTCATTATTTTTTAAGAATCAACTTCATACTTCAAATATATGTACCTTATCATCATCCACATCTTATGTGTCAAGGTTCATAACTCTAGCACCAATATTTTCAGATTTATCTCCCCTTGAAGTTAGAATTTTCCTTAAAAAATATTGTTTATTTCTGTTACTTCTTTATTTCTTAAGGGATCAATTTCATACTTCAAATATATGTACCTTATCATCATCCACATCTTATGTGGCAAGGTTCATAACTCTAGCACCAATATTGCAAGAATTATCTCCCCATGAACTTAGATTTATTTACTAGAAAAATGTTAATTTTTACTATAACTTCTTTAGTTTTAAAGGTATCTACCTCAAACTTCATATACTTATTCCTTATCATCAATTACATTTTGTGACAATGTTCATAACTTTTGAATCAATATCTACAGATTTATCTCTCTTTGAACTTTGAATTTTATTTACGAAATATCATAACTTCTTTACTTTTTAAGGTATCTACTTCAAACTTCAAATATATATTTCTTATCATTACACACATGTTGTGTGACAAGGTTCATAACTCTAGCATGACTATTTCTAGAATTATTCCCCTTGATCTTGGAATTTATGTTAACAATATTATTTTTTTACTATAACTTAAGACATAATTATACATAATTAATTTTTCTTTCATAGTTTTGTCTTCCTTACTGTGTCCAGTATTTTATTAGTCCAGCTTTGCTGTCTCCTGTGACAGCTCTTGTTTTATAAGTTATCATTTTAGTTTTGACTTAATCTAATAATATTTCTTAATGAAGATTATTAAAAGATATTAAAAGTGTTTTTAAATTTAACACCTTTTTTCGGTATTTTAACCCTTTCCCCCATGAGCATATTGTGAAAATTGGCCGTTTTCACTGAAAAGCCTCCTGTTACAAGTTCAAACTGCTATGAAACTATGAAAAATGCTTCAATACTAATCAAACTTGGCACAAATGTTGACTGGACCATTGCCTTTGTAACGACATGCTCAGTCTTAAGTTTCCTGTTACCATGGCAATGAGGGGACATCTCAAAATTGCCAAAAATCACTATTTTGCCTCAATTTTTTCCATCAAAATTTATTTCAAAGTGCTGCAACTTCTCAAGGGATTGAGATAGAGTCAAAGGCTTTTCAGCGTTGGTTACACGTTACATTATGATCGACCTGGGGTCATTTTTAGCCTCTCACAAGTCCAAAATTTTCTTGGCGATGAGGGGGACTCTGCCCCCCTTCAAACCCCCCTAACAGAAGGGGGCAAATCCCCCTTCTGGCAACCCCCTGATGTATCTTTTGGATGGGGGGCGGCGCCGAAAAAGTGCTCAATTTTTTTAGCAACATTTCTCAAACGAAAACATGTGTTTTGGGCCCAAATAGGACATTTTTTCACTATTTGAGGTCTAAAAAAGGGGGGGGGGGGGTCAAAAGTGCGTTGTTTCAAATATATATGAGGTAAAGGGTTAATCCTATCAACACCTTCATTATGAGAGATATAGATTATTGGACAGTGATTGATATACACCTGTAATTATGTTAAGGTCTGGCTTGTGATGTTCATTCATTTGTTAAATAGCGAATAAGGTGGATAGAAAATAAATAAGTAACAACTGGTATGCAATTGAAACTTGAATTAAACATCTAAATACTTCAATAATTGGGAAAGAACCGTCAGGGAGGAAAGGTCAGGGCAGGAACTGGTAAGGGAGAGAATAGTCTGACTACCATTGTTTATAGATACAATGCAACTACATAAACTAAGAAATGATTTCTTTAGCAAAAAGGCTTTTTATGCCACTGCAGCATCTGCGATCAGTGGCATATAACGATTCACCTGTATGATAAATGAATATAGAATATGCTGGTATATTGATAACCTTGGCTTTAAACATGAGGGGACTTGAAATATTTTTTTCTGATTTGTATTCCAAATGATGTATGTCTTGACCAATAACTTTTGTGCAGCATTTCAGATAATTTGCTCACTCCGTTTTTTCCAGCCTTGCAACGCTTTTTACACGAATTGGGCTATGAATAGCACAAAAATACAGTGAGCAATTTATGACTGAGTATATTTCTTATTCATCTTTTATATATCTTTCTGTTTTAAAATGTCTCACTAGATCTACGCAAAAATTCCGGTGTTGTTGTTTTTATGCTTTTGGACCTCATTGGAGTTCCTTAACAAGAACTTTACCAGTCTGCATAATTATGTTTGACAAGATTAGTGGAAATCGCACTGAAGATCTATATCAAAGTAGGAAAATCAAAGTTTTTTGTGAACTGGTCACTGTTCTAATATGATCCTTGCTTTTCTGGATGTGATATGGTAGACAATTTCCGGGATTTCTATAATTTGTTAATACGGTACCTGCTTAGTATAAGGTTTTTAGTTTTCAACTTATGGCACATGTAGCCCAAAAAATATTTGACCTAGAGTCATAAGATTGACAAAAAAGTGGAGTGGGGGCACCCGTGTCGTATGGACACATTTCTAGTTTGCAGTGTTTCCCTTTACAAATTATCATTTTCTTAAATAAGCTTTTTCTTTGTTCAAATTCTGGAAATACCCCACCCCTTACTCTGCTTATTATTAATCAACTGCAGCAAAGAAGGCTTAACATATTTTCGACGTGATATGGGACTCCTGCTTTTCCTGTCTTGGGAGTCCCTGGACTCCTGTTTTGAAAATCCGAGTGAGAATCTTGCTAATACGACTTCTCTGAATATGATATTGTTATGGTCAAATCCCTGGATCTCTATATATCTGATATGGCAGTGGTTGATTCCAGGGATATCTATATATATAATACGCATATACGATCGCAGCTTTTTATGCTCCTCAAAGGAAGAGCATATAGTCGCCACCTTGTCCGTCTGTCCGTCCGTCAGTGCCCGTCCGTCCGTCCATCCATCCGTTGTCTTGTCCGGAGCTTAACTTGAAAACACTTGGAGATAATTTGTTTAAACTTCACACAGTGATAGAGAACATCGAGGCGGAGTGCAGTGTCAAAGAACAAAAAACTCTATTTTGCCTCGTTTTTGAATTATCTCCCCTTTTAGAAAAATCTTGTCCAGGACATAACTCTAAAACTAGATACTAAAAGAGAGATATCAACATGAAACTTTGTAGGTAGATAGATCTCAATGGGTAGCTGTGCAGTGCACAAAAAAGGAACTCTGCCATACATAATTTTGGAGTAGCTTGCCCTTTGTTCATTACTACACTTTGAACTTTGTCCGGAATATAACTCTAAAATTATAAGAGATATCAGCATGAAACTTTGTATGTAGATAGATCTCATTGGGTGGAAGTGCAGTGCAAAAGAAACATAACTCTGCTAAGCCCTGTTTTTGAATTATCTCCCCTTTTAGAAAAGTCTTGTCCGGGACATAACCCTTTGCCCTTTGTTCATTTCTACACTTTGAACTTTGTCTGGAATATAACTCTAAAATTATAAGAGATATCAACATGAAACTTTGTACATAGATAGATCTCAATGGGTAGCTGTGCAGAGCACAAGAAACGTAACTCTGCCGTGCCTAATTTTGGAGTTATTGCCCTTTGTTCATTTTTACACTATGAACTTTGTCTAGAACATGACTCTAAGGTTATAAGAGATATCAACATGAAACTTTGTAGGTAGATAGATCTCAATCAGTAGATGTGCAGTGCATAAAAACTGTAACTCTGCTTTGGAAAATCCTTGTTAACACTCTAGAAGTCACATTTTAGACTCACTTGTTAGGAAACTTGGTCAGAATGCTTGTCTAGGTAATTACTCGGATGAGTTCCTTGGGTCAGGTGAACGATCTAGAGCCATGTTAGCCCTCTTGTTGTTTTTTTTAGCTCATCTCAGGATGAGCTTTTAGGATCGTTAAATGTCCATCTGATGTCGTCCGTCGTCTGTTGTCCATCCACATTTGTTTGTTAATACTCTGCTGGTCACATTTTTGCCTCAATCATTATCAAACTTTGTCAGGATGCTTGTCTAGGTAATTGCTCGGACGAGTTTGAACATGGGTCATCTTAGGTGAAAAACTAGGTCACTGGAGCTAAAAATAGAAAAATCTTGTTAACTTTCTGGTGGCTACTGTTTTGATTCAAATATCCTAGAAATTGGCCTGAAAATTTGTTTTGATGATTTTTAGGTCAAGTTTGAATATGGGTCACCTGGGGTCAAAACCTAGGTCACATAACGCCCAAATATGGAAAAACCTTATTAACACTCTAGTGGTCACCTTTTTGACTCAATTGTCATCAAACTTGGTCAAGATGCTTGTTTAGTTTATTGCTCAGATGAGTTCGAACAGAGGTCATCTTGGATGGAAAACTATGTAACAGGAGCTAAAAATAGAAAAATCTTGTTAACACTCTATTGGCTACTGTTGTTATCAAAATATCCTGGAAATTGATCTGCAAGTTTGTTTTGATGATTTCTAGGTCAAGTTCGAATATATGGGGTCAAAAACTAGGTCACACTGCCCAGATATGGAAAAACCTTGTTAACACTCTAGTGGTCACATTTTTTAATCAATTGTCATCAAACTTTGTCAGGATGCTTGGGATGAGTTTGATACTCAGGTGAGTGTTCTCAGGGCCATCTTGGCCTCTTGTCCTCACTGGCTATAACGTTGTTATTTGTAAATGGATTAACTTCATATTAAGACACAGCATTTATTAGGTCAGGACCATCCTGTGTATCAAACTCATTGACCATGACCCTTGAAGGTCAAATTATTTTCACTGATTATCACTATAATTGGCTGTCATTTGGTAATTTATCAATGGATTATTTTCATACTTGGACAAAACAACTTTTTGGACAAGGCATTCTAAAAAGTTTAACTGACCTTGAACTTGTGCTTTAAATGACCTAGACCATCAAGTTCAAAGTCTTGAATTTTGTTTAAATTGTCATTATTTTGTTATATATGTACAGATTTAATTCATATGTGGACTAAACAACACTTTTGACCAACAAACATGTGGAATAATTTAGATATGACCTTGACCATCAAATGATTGAATTTGGACTATATTTTCTAAACTTTGTTATTTTTTATTTTTGTGCCCCCACTTTAGTGGCAGGCATTTTGATTTACCCTTGTCCGTCCGTCCTTCCGTCCGTCCTTCCGTCCGTTCACTTTTGTGTCACACGTAACTCAAAAAGTATTTGACCTAGAGTCATGAAACTTTACAGGAATGTTGATCAGCATGTGTAGTTGTGCACCTGGGTATTTTCGTCTTGATATTTTTAGTATTTTTAGAGTTATTGCCCTTGACTTAGTAAAATTTGCAATTTTATAATAAAGTCTTTATTTCATAATAATAATAATAATAAAGTCTTTATTTCAAGAGGCTACACATTTGCAACAAAGGCAATCTACCCTGTGGGCCTCATAAAATGTACATATTTACAATCATATAGTTGTGAATCACATGAAATATTATGCAATAACATTAACATAATTATTTTGATATTAGACAATAATGATAATAATTATATAAAGTGCACAAAAAAATATACAGTGAACAAGGCATTTCAAAATTACAAATAAACCTTTGACAATAACAATATTTCAATTAGAGCAGTGTTTTTCTTATAATTTTATATTTGATTTGTCTTTTTCCAATTTTCTATGTATTTATGTTTAAAGTTTTGAAGTGATTGTGCAGAGTGTATGCTGATTGGTATTTCATTCCAAATTTTTGATCCTGAATAGTTAAAACTTTTTCTGAAAAATTCTACTTTTGGTTTTGGTTGGTATATGTTAAGTTTTGAATCTGTTGAACGTAGGGTGCGAGAATGAATAGTATGGTTGAAGGTAAATTTTTGTGTTAAGTACTCTGGGCAAATATTGTTAATTGACTTATATACCATAATTGCTTGTTTATATTTGACTTGGTCTGGGAATTTCATCCAGTTTAATAAAATGAATAGATTTTCAGACGGGGCATCATATGGTTGATCTAAGTATAATCCTAGCTGCTCCTTTTTGAAATGTATTTGCTCCAAATTACAATTTCCCCAGATAGAGCAACAATAGTCTAAGTGAGGTAGTATGTAGGAGTTAAAAAATAGTTTTCTAATGGGAATGTCTATGAAATATTTAATTCTTTGCAGTAGGTATAATTTGGAATTGCACTTTTTTAACACATGATTAATATGGTTTTTCCAGTTTAATTTGCTGTCAACATGGACACCTAGAAGTTTTTCAGAGTTGGAACATTCTATTAAATTATTGTCTAAATGTAGCATGTTTAATATGGAGTCTGTTTTGTTTGATGGACAAATTGCCATTGCCTTTGATTTCTTTGCATTTAGGGACATAGCGTTCATTTGACACCAAAAATTTACATTATCTAATGCAGTTTGTAATTTAGTTTGTACTTCCAGATAAGTTGTTCCAACTGCAGAAATAGTTGTATCATCAGCAAATATATCTCTAAAAATTTCCTTTAGTTCCTTTGGAAGATCATTTATATATATAAGAAATAAAAGTGGACCAAGAACAGATCCTTGGGGAACTCCTGATTTTACATGTCCTGGTTCTGATAGTTTCCAAGATATAGATACCTTTTGAAGCCTATCCTGTAGGTAGGACTTAAACCACAGTATTGTTTTATTGCTGATATTAAGGGTTTGTAGTTTCTGAATAAGAATTGAGTGATCTACTAGGTCGAACGCCTTTGAAAGGTCGAGAAACAGTGTTCCAACAACTTTTCCATCATTAATAGCATTTATCCACCTATCTACTATTGAAAGTCAGGCAGTTTCACAGGTAAAGCCAGACTGATAGTTATAGATTAAGTTAATTTTCAACTTGTGTCGCATGTAACTCAAAAAGTATTTGACCTAGAGTCATGAAACTTTACAGGAATGTTGATCAGCATGTGTAGTTGTGCACCTGGGTATTTTCGTCTGGATATTTTTAGTATTTTTAGAGTTATTGCCCTTGACTTAGTAAAATTTTTGCAATTTTCAACTTGTGTCGCATGTAACTCAAAAAGTATTTGACCTAGAGTCATGAAACTTTACAGGAATGTTGATCAGCATGTGTAGTTTTGCACCTGGGTATTTTCATCTGGATATTTTTAGTATTTTTAGAGTTATTGCCCTTGACTTAGTAAAATATTTAAATTATACAATTATTTCATTCCTGGTCTAATTGGATTAAATGAATTTGATAATTTGAGCATGAATTGGCATTGCTTTCACTACCCTTGAATTCTAAAATTTAATTTAAATGAATGACTAAATGACATCCATAATGTTTGTAATATTGTAAAGTCATTTTTTCTCAGATTTATGTCAACTTGCCTAAAACTTCTTAATTGGTTGAACTTTGTACCATAATAACTAAAGATACCAAATTAATTTTCACTTTTATTCTTAGGTACATACTATATAGAAGTTTCATGAAATGAGTTATATCATTTGACAGGGTATTAATTAAACAAATTTGCCTGATTGAATTTGCACTAATGTTGCCAAAGGGATCAATTGTATACTGAAGGAAGAAAATATAAAATAATGTGATTTTCAATGCATAAACGTGTATATTTCAAGATGTTAAAAAGGTTTTACAGTCATATTACAAAACATACATTTATATACCATTAAATGGTGTGTTAGTGTAAACAAAACAATTTATATGTTTTTCTTTTTCCTTTTTTTTTAAGATTCCAGGCAATAGAACAGTCTTTGAAAAAGTAGAAACAGAAGAAATTAACTCATTAGGAGGGAAATATCCAGTATTTGTAGCACAAAACAGTAAAGTTTTGAATGAGAAAGTATCTCAGGAAACTATCATAACCAAAGAAGTGTCTGGACTTAATGACTTGTTGGGTGAATCAGGGAAAAATGAAAAGAATGTCTGTCAGAAGAAAGTTAATAATGAAAAAGATGTCAGATGTTTGGACACAGCATTAAATACATTACATGAAATGGAACCAGCTGAGATCACTAAAGATGTTGTTAAACGCAATCGTAAATATGTTGTTAGAAGAAAGTTGAATGGTAACATAGATCTTACAAAACCAAACATTGGTGTTGGAAAAGACACAAAGCTGTCTGGAATTAGTGAAGATGTCAATGACAGAAACAACAGTAGTTTGAAATTTGATGTTGAAGAGACAAAGAAAAGGTTAAAAAGAGGAAAGCTTTTTCCAATTAGAATTGAAGAAGATAAAGGATATGATATCTCTGAGGATGATATGGGTTTTACCGATGATTCTGATGATGACCCAGATTGTACAGATTTAGATAAACTATTTTTAAATAGAATAACAGATGTCAATTTGAAAGAAAATGTTAAAGACTTGTTGAAATTTGCTGAAGTACTTTATAAGTGTACCTTATGCACATCCATTCCATCAATTCTTACATCAGAAGAAAGTTTCATCAAACATGTTAACAGACAACATTTATCTGAAGATAATCACTGCCATACATGCAAAATGTGCTTATTGAAATTTAGAACAGAAGAAGATTTGAAAGAACATGTGATTTATTCACATACAGGAAGTGAAGAGAACTTGTCAAGCGATCTTACAGGAAGTGACATCACAGGGTCACATGACCAGGTAATTGACAGTAATAATGACAGTGATTCAGATTCATCGGGCCACAGGCAACTGAGGGCAAAAGTTATAAAGAGAAGTAAACCAGTACAAGACTTTGAAAGTCCTAAACAGTTAGTGGATCACACTGGAATAGAAACATTAAATGGTTCTCTAGATCTTACACAAAGGCATTTTGATGAAAAGCAGGAAACAGATTGTGCAAACGGAAGCAAATCATGTAAAGAAGTAAGTGAGATAGATATCAAACAAATTACTGATCAGATAATTAAATCTGATGTTCAGGGAAGAAATGTGTCACAAGGAGGTCATTCAAAGTTACCATTTATTCCAGGATTTACCCTTGAATTTGGAAAATATACAAAGTTAGTCAGAGAAGGTGGTAATATTGTGTACTTTTGTCAAATTTGTAACTGGAAATCGCCAATAAAAACAACATTTGAAGTTCATTGCAATATGTCTTCTCATAAAAATAAAGTGTTCAATGCAAACAATCCAGATGATAGTTATGATTCAAGTTTGAAAAGTCCAAAATACAGTGAAAAAAATCATTGTCTATTTACAAAAACTGACCACACTAAAGATAAAGGTAAGAGATCTTATGTGAACAAAAATATATCAGTAGGTCCCAGAATGCCAGATCAAAATTTGTTTTATGACTATATAATGAGACCAAGGGGAGGTAACCAGTATAGAGGAAAAACCCCAGTTGTCTCCCCTTATGGTACTAGTAGTTTTATTGAAGATGCAAGGTTCACTTATAAAAGACCAAATGAACACCCAGTTGATTTAGCAATGAAAAAAAGAAAAAGAAATATAAAGCATTCAGATGTTGGACATAAGTCTGATTCTGAGAGTGATGATAGTAGTGATATTAAAAACTGTTTTTTATCAAAATATAATCATTCTTCGAATATGACATTGTTAAGACAAAAGTTACTAGAAGGAAGTTGTGGTAAAAAAATGAAGAACAACGGAAAAGAATTTAAATATGTTGTTACAAATTCAAGGTGTTCTTCAGACCTATCTGCAAATGAAAATTCAAAGGATTCTAATCATTATGAGAGAAGTTCATTGAAGAATGAAAAGCTGGAAGATTTAATGTCTGAAAGTAAAGAAACCAACTCAGAACATAAGGTGAGAAATAATGTAAGTAGCTCCTTGGGAAGGGATGGTATTTCATGTTCAGCAAGTTCAGTGTTGAAATATAGAGCAAAGGATGACATTAAATTTGCAGACTCATTATTTACAATATATAAATGTCATGCATGTTCATTTAGATATTCTGATGTAAATGAATATGAGAAACATTTTGACAAAGAACATAAATCATCTGTGGCAAACTTTGTGATCTTACAAAAGGGAAATCCTGAATCCAAGCAGCCAATGTGCTCACAAGGCCACAGAGAGATTGAGACTGGTTCCGGGTTCATGGTGGAATCAGGACTAGGTATGGAAGGAAGAGATCTATTTGCTGGGAGAAATGGGGACCAGCCAGTCTCAGGGAGCTGTGAAATGGGAGAAAATTGGAGAGTGCAGAAACTGAAAGAAGTACTTCCAGGTAAAAATATATAACATGTTATACTTTTGAATGGGGGGCAAAAATAAAAAAGGACTTAAATACAATTTCATTCATAATACTTCAACTGGAAACTCATTGCCATGTGGACCTCAACAACAGTGATGTTAGTTTAGGCATTGGGGCTAACATTTTTTTATGGTGACTTGCATACTAAAATCTTGTTCTCTAAAAGAACAATGTGTAGAGTTAAGATATTTTGCATGCAGCATCACCTTGTGGTCCTCTACAAAAGTTCAATAAACCATACCTTTTGGATCAAAATTGGCTCTGCCCATTGGGTTACTCAGTTTATATAGACTTACATATTAAAACACATTTAATTCAACTTTCTTGTGTGAAATGACTGTGCCAAGGGCTTAGATATTTGTCATGAAGATTTTTGTAGCAGACATCAACAAATACTTTATAAATTATGCAGCTTGGGTAAAAAATGACAAATCCAATGTGATCTCATTACTGACTTTATCATTGAAAAATAAAAATTGTGACCTTTGTATTGTAGATTAGCAATCCAGGGCTATCTTTTTAGCTCACCTGAGCTTTAAATATCGCTGAGTGTCCAACATCTATCATCCGTTTTCTGTCGTACATTCAAATTTAATTTGTTCACACTATAGTGGTAACATTTTTGTCTCAGTTGTCAACTTGGTCAGGATGTTTGTCTAAGTAATTTCTTGGACGAGTTCGAACATGGATACTTTCGAATGAAAAACTAGGTCACATGAGCCTAAAATAGAAAATCTTCCAAGTATCTTTGAAATTGGCCAGAAAGTTTGTTTTGATGATTTTTAGATCAAATTTGAATATGGGTCTCCGGGGTTAAAAACTAGGTCACATAGCCCAAATATGGAAAAAACTTGTTAACACTCTTGAGATGAATTTACAGCTTATTAAAATATCCTGGAAATTGGTCAGAAAGATTGTTTAGATGTTTACTAGCTCAATTTTGAATATGGGACGACTTGGGTAAAAAACTAGATCATGAAGACCAAATATGGAAAAACCTTGTTAACACTCTAAAAGCTACTGTTTTGTCCGAAATATCCTGTAAATTGGTCAGGTTGTTTAGATGATTTCTAGCTAAAGTTTGAACATTGGTAATCTTGGGTCAAAAACTAGATTGTAGATCAAATATAAAAAAAAAACCTTGTTAACACTCCAGAGGCTACTGTTTTGGTCCAAATACCCTGGAAATTGGTCAGACAGGGGGTTTAGATGTTTGAATACGGGGTCAAAAACTAGGTAACTATGGATAAAACCTTGTAACCATTGTAGATGAATCACTTCTAGTCCAAATATCCTGAAAATTTGACAGAAAGGTTGTTAAGATAATTTCTATCTCAAGTTCTAATATGGGTCATGTTTGGTCAAAAACTAGATCACACAGCCCAAATATGAAAAAACCTTGTCTTACTGTCGTAAAGAGGACAGTTTGCTAGGACAAACAACGGCTTCACCTCTGTATCTGAGCAAACTGTCTTCTTACATCTGTAAGAAAACACTTTTGGAATAAAAGCTTTACAATATACTGTATTAAGGACACATTATATACACAGCAATGTTTGCTTTAATTTGTAAGGGCATGCCCTGGCGGTCACATAGTATATATGGAATAAATATATAGAAAGATACATTGAAGTTTTCTTTTGTGAAATTACAATAAATATTAGACTTGTATTTTATTGGTAAAAATGTCTTAAAAACTTCTCTGAAACTACAAAACCCAGAGCTTACATGTGTATGATTTATGAGTATGACCTTGTGGTCGTCTACATAAGCTATGTAAATGGTCAAAATAAGCCCTGCACAAGGTATAGAAAATACATGTACATTTAAGTCTCTTTTGTGAAGCTACAATGCCAAAAGTTTAAATATTTTGCATGTAGCTTTTGCTTAGAGAATCTTTATAAAGTTGTATGCCCACATGGAGATAAATTGCTTTATGATCAAAATGTCTTATAAATCTTCTCCAGAGCTTAGACATTTGGCATGTAGCATCGTCAAAATTTGTAGACATCATGCTCCTGGGGTCAACATTGGTTCCAATCCCTGTGGTCACTTACTTAATATAGACTTACATTTAAATTCAAAGAGCTTAGATATGCATTTCATAGCAGACATCTACAAATATTTAAAAATTATCATTATTATGCAACTTGGGTAAAAAATTACACACCCAATGTAAAATTATTACTGACTTAAACATTGAAAAATAAAAATTGTGACCTTTTCTACCAGTTTCTTCTCTTGTTGAATTTGATATTAAGTAAGTCAAGTTTGACCCCTGTTTGTTCAAAAAATAAAAAACTGTTTGTGATTGTTTGTGGTGGGGGTATTTATCACATTCAGCAATAGTAATTGTTGATAGCAGTGTATTTAAAATTAATTTTCCTTTTTTAAGTAATTTTTAAGTGGGCTCTAAACTATTATCTGCTTCTTTTTTTTTCAAAATTCATAAACATAATTTAGCAAAGAACAGTTCCTAATTCAATTAAAGCAGGACTTATCAATTATATAAATTAGAAAGATTAGGAAATTAATTTTAGTCTGAAGTCGTAATTGTATTTTTTTTTTCAATTTTAATTAATTATAAATGAATTATTTAGAAGAGAAATTAATTTGAAATATTCTGAAGACTTAAGAGGACACTATAAAATTTAACTTGCACAAACACACTTGAAAAATTTGTGAGAAATTGTTTTTCATAGAAAATCTTGTCTGGGTAACTAATCTAAAACACTTTCCATACAATGGTTTCAAATTATATTGCATTTTGAAATTTATATGATGTTGATACAAAAGCTACTATTATGTAAAGAAAAATTCAGTGTGTTGTTAGTATGAACTTTGCAAAAGACAAAAAAAGTTAAGTCTGTCTGGCAGATATATTGCGTGATCTTTAGAAATTTGACGTCTGTAAAAGTATTTTAATATCACTACTGTTTAGGAATAATTTATTTTGAGCTGACTTTATGCTGAATTTCAAAATGTTTTATCAGGTATGTATAGACACAAATAGCAAAATTACAGAATCAAGGATTTTTTTATTGCACTGTAAATTAAAATAATATAACTGGTGTATGTTTGTGTGTGTACATGTATGTGTGTGTGTGTTATATAGATTATATAGTGAACGAAAAAAATCTTCTTGTTAAAAACCACTTGTCCAGTTTCAACTAAACTTGACAGGATTGTTTCTTGGGTGAAGAGCTTCCAAAGTTGTTCTAAGAATTTGATTTCATACAGGATCTGGTTGCCATGGCAACCAAAAGAAATTATAAGAAAAAAATTAAAAAACCCACAAGGCCTAGAGCTTTGATATTTGCACAAGATACTGTCTATTGGATCTCTGTTTGTTTGTTTGTTTCATTTTACGCCTTTTCCCAACAGTATTTCAGTCATATAGGCGGGTAGTTTCCTAACCATCGTTCCTGGAGAGTTACACCAGTACTAGACTACCTTCCTCCGCGCTAAACTACCAAAGCATCTCCCGGGGATCGAACCCACGCCAGAGAGGTAACTGGATTAGAAGTCATCAACTCTAACCCCTCGACCACGGAGGCGGTATACTATTGGATCTCTACCAAGATTGTCCAAATTATAGCCCTGGCGTCAAAATTGGCCCGGGGCCCAGGGGGTCATTGATTTTCTAAATTTTTGAAAACCAGAAAGTTAGAGCTTAGATATTTACATGAAATATTGTCTGGTGGACCTATATCAAGATTGTTGAAATTAAAGCCTTCGGGTCAATTTTTGCCATGCCAAAGGGGACACAGTGACCTACTTTCTTGTCCTTACAGTTTGAGATGTAAAATTGAACTTTGATATCCTAGATTTTAACAAAGTGACTTACTTTCTTGTCCTTTGATGTCATGGAATTTAGGTCATGTGAATATCACCTTGACCACCAAATTCACTAGACTCTACTGCATTATGGCAAAGTTCAATTGTATAGAAAGAAAAAAGTTCTTCTGTACCTACACGACAATTTAGTGTTGTATTAATGCAGTGGATTTTAAGCTCGACTATACAAAGTATATGGAGAGCTGTCCTACTCGCCATGGCGTCTGCGTCCACGTCCAGATTTCAGATTAAAGTTTTGGTGCAGTAAAATATTTTTCACTATAACTTTTTCATTTCTTAAGGTATTAACTTCAAACTTAGAATATATATTCCTTATCATCAACCACATCTTATGTGACAAAGTTCATAATTCTAGCACCAATATTTTTAGATTTATCTCCCCATAAACTTAGATTTTTTTACTTGAAAAATGTTTTTTTTACTATACCGGTAACTTTTTCATAACTCAAGCACCAATATTTTTTAAGATTTATCTCCCCTTGAACTTAGAATTTTCCTTAAGAAATAATATTTTTACTGTTACTTCTTTAATATTTCTCAAGGGATCAACTTCATACTTCAAATATATGTTCCTTATAATCAACCACATCTTATGTGACAAGGTTCATAACTCTAACACCAATATTGCAAGAATTATCTCCCCATAAACTTAGATTTTATGTTTGAAAAATGTTATTTTTTACTAAAACTTTTTTACTTTTTAAGGTATCTACCTCAAACTTCAGATACTTATTCCTTATCATCAATTACATCTTATATGACAAGGTTCATAACTCTTGAAGCAATATTTTTAGATTTATCTCTCTTTGAACTTAGGATTTTCTTTAAGAAAATTATTATAACTTCTATACCTTTTAAGGTATCTACTTGAAACTTCAAATATATATTTCTTATCATTATACACATGTTGTGTGACAAGTTTCATAACTCTAGTGTTACTATTTCCAGAAATATTTCCCCTTGAGCTTGGAATTTATGTTAACAAATGTTATTTTTTTACTATAACTTAATACATAATTCATAATACATAATTGATTTTTCTTTCATAGTTTTGTCTTCCTTACTGCATCCAGTATTTTATTAGTCGAGCTTTGCTGTCTCCTGTGACAGCTCTTGTATACAAATGCAATCTTGTTTCTCCTAGAGACACATAAATAATGTCTTAAAAAAAAAGAAAAAAGATTGCTCTTCTGGGGTTTGAACCGCGCCCCTCCGTTTCAATGCAGTTGATAGTAGTAGTAGCCTATCTGAATACCCTTCAAAGCATTAGAAGTGGGGGGGGGGGTCATACCTTAATAAAGAAAAATGCATTCTTTATTAAATTTCTTTATTAAAAAAACGTCTTGTTATTTAAAAGCATATTATAAGACATCAAAATGAAGTTGTGACAAGGCTTTCTACAAGGTGTTGGGCTCATTTGTAGTTTTGATTGATTGTCACTTGTTACTTTCATAGTGCTGTGATGTGAAATGCTCTGTTTTACTCTTTTTGTTTCTTTTTTTTTCGTTCAACTGTTATTTATTTTTCCAAAAACCAGGTACATTTAAGTAATTCATGGTATTATATAAAATTGGGCCCTGGATTAACCCTTATATATGGCTTGGTTTGATGATGACCATATGAACTTACAACCAACATGTTACAGAATATTAGCATTAACTAAAAGGTGTTAACAGCCTTTTCAAGTATTGAATCACAATTGCTTATTTCAACTGAAAGAAAAAATACAAGGACTTTAGAAATACTTTGGACATAGTAAACCAATAACCACTCTTCACACAGATTTGAAAGCAAAATAATGGAGTACATGCATTAATATAAAGGGAATGTTTTAATTACAAAATATATATACACACATTAAAAACAAGTATGTAAAAAACTCTTTGTTTCATATCCTTTCTCTTGCATGAACAAAATCATATGAATTGTAAGGTTTTAGAAAGTGTGGGTTATGTCCACTGTATTAAATTCGTTCACTCTGTAAAATTCATGTGTGGTGTTTTGTCCACTCAATAAAATGAGGAGGTGTGGGGTTTTGACTTGTATGGATTTGTCTTCCATCACAAACATTTAAAATCTTTATACTATTACCTGTGCAATGTTGTAGAAACAATTTCTTTGTAAATGTATTTCTTCTCTTTCTATCTGTCTAGGTCACCTTCTATTAAGACATTGTCAGGGTTTTGAATGACATTCAGTGATACTACATGCATTTCAGACCGATGTGATTACATTTTATTGAAATAATTTCTTCATTTTGATTGGCTGAGAGTGATACAAGAATTTTTTAGATTACATACAATCATGCTGATAAAAAATTTATCTTTATTTTGTTTTAAGATTTTGTGATTGAGTGTGACCGGGGAAACACATCTCGAGACTATTTGTTGCAGTGCATCAGCAGCTCCTCAGGGATACAAGATGCTGTACTTTGGTCTTCTGCATGTAACAGAGCCATGCGTGAACTATTTCCTAACAGTCAAGCACAGAGAAAAGGCAAATATAAAAAATATCCTTTTACAAACATTATATTTATACAACTTAAGAGGTATACTAAAAAAGTTTGTGGACTGTGGCTCTATTATTCACATCTTTTAATTTGTGCACATGGTTTTTCAAATGACAAATATCAGAACAGGTCCTTAATTTACAGTGAAAATACATTAATAATACAATATTGTAACGTTTAGACATTTTTACTTGGCTAAATGTTTTGATTTACTGAAATGATTTTATTGTTACTTGACTATTATGTTATTTGTTTATATTGCCTCAATGTAACTTAATTTACGGTACTTTAGAATAAACGTTTGGTATACATATTTTTAATAAACGTTTGATATCATATAATATAATAATCGTCTCAGTGATAATGATTATTTTGATCAGCCAATGAAAATTAAGACATGCTTGAGTAATCATCTCAGCAGGTATAAGTATGTGATTAGAGCAAAATTTCTCAGTCTGCAAGAGGATTCACAGGGACCAGGTTATTCTATGTAACTGAAGCCTCACTTCATACATAAAGGATAATTTTGTCAACCTAATTGAAGCCAAGCTTCATAGGTAGAAACGAATAATTAGCCAAAAGTAATTAATATCAAAACTAATATCAAATTGAAGCCTTAAGCTTCATGGAAGTAGAGTTTATATATTCAAGTTTGTGAAATTGCAGTTGAGTCTGGGTACTTATAAACTTCCATATTTTCTGAAAGCCTCGCTATCAGAAAATTGGTAACATATAGGTGTTAAAAATCCAGACATAGAGTTAAAGGAATAAGCTTTGTATAGATACATATAGTTGGAACTTTGTTGTAAATCCCTACCAGCAGCTTCTAATAGAAGACAAGAGAGGTAGTAGCTGGACTATCGGGATAGGACATTATCGGTCTATAGTTTTGAATTATTTCATAGTGTTATATCTTAAACATATTTACTATATTGTGACTTTTAAGAATTTAATAGTTTATTTTGAAGTATTAATTCAAGCTGATTGTTTATGATATATGATAATTTCATAATCATTTGTATCTAATCAAACGGCAGGTAGCCCATAAAAAAATTAGATATTCATTACATATTTCACTGATACATGTTACAATGTGTTTACAAATAATTATTCTGTGAAAATTCAAATAATTTGTGACAAGGAAAATAAATAAAAAATGTCACCAGCGTCATTGTCTTTGAAACTACACATGTACTCTCTCAAAGTGTTTGTTCAATGTCTCTCAATAAGCACTGAAAATGTTTTTATGAAGCATAATATTGCAGGGCGTACACTCTCCTATATTGTCTACATATTCCTATACTTTAACCATTGTGCATTAATTTTCAATATTTTCCTATAATTTTCCAAAATTCCTATAAATTCCTATGTTTTTGGAAATAGTTCTTGTGTGTAAGCAAGATAAGCAATATTTTGAAGGAATAAATTTAATAAATGGGCTCAGAACACCTCTTTATCAGTATATGCTATTTTCTTCATTCCTACAGGCATGGTCACCCAGCCCAACCCAGCCAGTTTTTTTTATTTTATAAATAAGTAAATATTTTTAAGATAAAAACAAACATTCCTATGAAATATTTCAGAGTGCAGAAGTGACATTTATTTTTTTGCAGGTTAGTAACTTACATTAATCATTCTTATGCAGTATTAAATTCCTGAAATAGCAAAGTGGTACATGTATATTAACCCATTTTGTGAAAAATGGCTGTTTTCATTGAAAAGTCTCCCGTTAAAAGTTCAAATTGCTATAAACTATAAAAACTGCTTCAATACTAATCAAACTTGGCAAAAATGTTGACTGGACCATTGTCTTTGTAACGACATGCTCAGTCTTAAATTTTACTGTTATTATGGCAATGAGGGGACATCTCAAAATTGCCAAAAATCACTATTTTGCGTTGATTTTTCCATCAAAATTGATTTCAAAGTGCTGCAACTTCTCAATGGATTGAGATAGAGTCAAAGGCTTTTTGGTTACACGATACCTCATGATCGACCTGGCACTTACAAGTCCAAAATTATTTTGGCAATGAGAGGGACTGCCGCCATCCTTCACCAAAACGGGCAACCCCCTGATGTATCTTTTGGATGAGGGGCGGCGCCGAAAAAGTGGTCACTTTTTGTGTTGCCTTGAAAAGAGCGTCATATAGGGGTTACTTTTGTCGGCGGTGTCGGCGTCCCCTTAAGTTTGTCCGGAGCATAAGTCAGTCATTATAAGTCGGATTGACTTCAAACTTGGAATGCATGCTTCTTATAATGACCCAAAGTGCAGAGCACAAGAACCGATACCCTGCACTTCTTAATTTTTGAGTTATTGCCCTTTGTTAATTTTCATACTTTATTTTTGTCCGGGCCATTTCTCCTAATGTATAAAAGCTATGGACTTGAAACTTCATAGGATGATAGAGCTCATTAAGAAGAAATGCAGTGCACAATAACCTGTACTCTGCATTTCTTATTTTTTGAATTTTTGCCCTTTGTTAATTTTCATACAGGTCATTTCTCCTAAAGTATAAAAGCTATGGACATGAAACTTCATAGGATGATAGATCTCATTAAGAAGAAGTGCAGTGCACAAGAACAGGTACCCTGTATTTCTTATTTTTAGCTCGACTATTCGATAAGAATAAGTAGAGCTATTGCAGTCACCCGAGCGTCGGCGTCCACATCGGCGTAACCACTTATGTTAAAGTTTTTGTAATAGTTCAAATATTTTCAAAGTCCATAGACATATGGCTTTGAAACTTTGCACATTTGTTCACCATCATGACCGCAACCTGTAGACAGGAGGAGGTAACTCTATCAAGCATTTTGACAGAATTATGCCTCTTTTTCGACTAGAATTTACGTTAAAGTTTTTGTAATAGTTCAAATATTTTCAAAGTCCATTGACATATGGCTTTGAAACTTTACACACTTGTTCAACATCATGACCCCAACCTGTAAACAGGAGGAGGTAACTCTATCAAGCATTTTGACAGAATTATGCCCCTTTTTCGACTTAGAATTTACGTTAAAGTTTTTGTAACAGTTCAAATATTTTCAAAGTCCATTGACATATGGCTTTGAAACTTTACACACTTGTTCACCATCATGACCCCAACCTGGAAACAGGAGGAGGTAACTCTATCAAGCATTTTGACAGAATTATGCCTCTTTTTCAACTTAGAATTTACGTTAAAGTTTTTGTAATAGTTCAAATATTTTCAAAGTCCATTGACATATGGCTTTGAAACTTTGCACACTTGTTCACCATCATGACCCCAACCTGTAAACAGGAGGAGGTAACTCTATCAAGCATTTTGACAGAATTATGCCCCTTTTTCGACTTAGAATTTACGTTAAAGTTTTTGTAATAGTTCAAATATTTTCAAAGTCCATTGACATATGGCTTTGAAACTTTGCACACTTGTTCACCATCATGACCCCAACCTGTAAACAGGAGGAGGTAACTCTATCAGGCATTTTTTTTACTATCAAGCACTAAGAATAGTCGAGCGTTGCTGTCCTACCGACAGCTCTTGTTTGAGTTATTGCCCTTTGTTAATTTTCATACTGTATTTTTGTCCAGCCATTTCTCCTAAAGTATAAAAGCTATTGTCTTTTAACTTCATAGGATGATAGATCTCATTAAGAAAAAGTGCAGTGTACAAGAACTGGTACTCTGCACTTCTTATTTTTTGAGTAATTACCCTTTATTAATTTTCATACTTTATTTTTGTCCAGGCCATTTCTCATAAATTATAAAAGCTATGTACTTGAAACTTCATAGGTTGATAGATCTTATTGACTAGAAGTGCAGTGCACAGAAACTGCTGCTCTGCACTTCTTATTTTTTGAGTTATTGCCCTTTGTTAATTTTCATATTAAATTTTTGTCCTGGCCATTTCTCTTAAACTATATTGTTCACAAGGCGACACATCCGACTCGCAAACAACATTTCTCAAAAAAAAAACAAGTACTAGTATTGGGGGCCTAAATAAGGCATTTTTTTCACCATTTGAGACAGCAAATAGGGGAGGGTGAAAAAGGCTTTAAAAGGCGTGTATATCAAGTAATGGGTTAAGAGAAAAAATTGCTTCAATGTTAGAAAAGATTTAACAAAGGAGGAAGACTGTCTCAGAGCACACTGAAATCTTATTGTCAGGGGGAAATGAAATTTTATTCTAAGCTTGTGCAAGTGTTGCTCAAATGATTATCTTTTAAAATTGAAAAACTGAGAAAAGAAATTGATATTTAACCCTTTCACTGCCATATGCCGTCCCTATTATTTTCGGCGTATTTGCCATATGGACGGCTTTTGCTGTTTCAATAATAATAATTATAATAATAATAATAATCATAATAAATATATTGATAATTATACCATCGGCAATAATTATTATTATACTAGCAGATTTGGAAACATATATAATTATTATAATACTAATAACAAATAATAATAATATTAATTAATAATATAGTAATTTCTTAGAAAACCTTCTGGCAAATAAGTGATCAATAAATAAATGACCCTCTGGCAGCGAAATGGTTAAGGGAACAGCAAAAGGAGGTAGAAAAGGGGAAAAACAGATGTTTGAAAAGACATGTGAAGGCAAGAAACAGAAACTGATGACCAGTTTTTTTGTCTCCTTTTCAGAAAAGTACCTCCTTTAGTTCTGTGAAAAACAAAGGCAAGGGGAAGGAATTAGCAAAAGGCAAGTGGAAGCAATTAGCAAAAGGCAAAGGGAAAGAATTAGCAAAAGGCAAGGGGAAGGAATTAGCAAAAGGCAACAAGAAAAAATAACAAATAGTTTCTATTCCAGTTGTAAAGTCTACTTTGATGTTTTTTCAAAGCAATATAGCAAAGTAGACAATGAGAATGATTCAACTACTTTCTCAGGAGGTTATGTTGCACCATTCTTAAGCTTTTTGTATCAATAATTTTAATATACAAAGTCATGTATCTATAATTTTTAAATGTTTTCAAGAACAGGATAAAAGTGTTTTTATGTCTAAGGAGAGCATCATTATTTTGATAAATAGACATAAATAATGCTTATTTTACTTCATGTAAAGATTATTTTTGGGGCATCATTAAAAGTATTCAAAATTTCTAAAATTTTATTGTATCTCTTCCATAATAGTCCCTAGTGTTTTTGCAAAGATTTCTTTTGTACTTTCAGCATTGTTCATTTTTTATGCTACAGTTTTGTTTCAAGATATTAAAGTTATTGCTTGGTCAAACAGTGGTGTACTCACTGTAGGTGAGCGGAAGAAGAGGATAAACCTTCTTTGGCTTGTTATTTCTATTCCTATATTTTCCTATATTTAGGCCTTGAAAAGTCCTAATTTTGATGGCATTCCTATATTTTTGTGATGGGAAATGAGTGAACACCCTGGTATTGTTATGCACCTGGTTGTCTGTCCCACCGGTGGGAGGAAATTGAATCTACTTGGCAGAAATGTTAACCATAATGAGACGATGTGCAGAGCGTAGATTTGTCCTTTCTCAGGTCAAGGTCACACTTATTCATTTTGTAACAATATCAAATATGTATAATTACATAGAAGAACCCTGCAATTGTTCCAAAAATCACCTCGCTGTTAATAAAAAATGGAGGCTGAGCATGTGTAGACAGTATTCCATTTTGGTTGTATGTAAAACATCGCATTTTAAGGACTTAAATTTACCACCAATAATCATGCATGCGTTAGAAGGCCACATGATCAGCACCGGAAATAGCATGAGAAAAACACAAGTTAAAGACAATATATTTTGTTATTAATAAATAACATACTAATAAAAAAAACACTATATTTTTTGTGTCTCCTGCTACACAAAAGCTGAAACATGCTACAAAGTAGCATGACATAATTGTCCAATCACCCCTCAATACAACTGCTGAATTGGCAATCATCAGAATGATGACACATGTCATCTCTCTTGTTTAATATATTTAAAATAAATTTCTATTATTATACAATACACTGTCTACTTCCTGTGATCACTGCAATGATACAAGTTGAATTGTACTATATGATAAAACAAGTTAAATGTTGATGCTGCATATCAAAGACGCCGCCAAATGATGTGAACAGTCACAGGTAATGTACAAAATCTGAATTGAAAATCGTTCTCTATTACAGTTGAATATCCGAAGCACTAATCAATTTTTTCTCCATGTTCTTGTTATGTGTCTGAAATGTTTGTCTGTTGCGACAATGATTGAAACGTCTGGTCGAAGCAAAATAAATTGGATAACAAGAAAAATTGAAATTATTGGTAAACTTAAAATGAATTCAAGACAATATGTGCCGAGAATATGTCCATTTAAATATTGGTGCGAATTGCATAATGTTCATTCGAATGAATTTGAGGACGAACTGTCTCTTATTTTACAAATAGCAAAAATATGTCTGTAATATCAAAAAAGAGTTATGAATAAATTGATATATATAATCAATTCTTAGATACGTATTTTTTTCTTATTTATAAAAGATTAAACTACTTGATTAAACTAAAGATTGCATGGTCGCCTAGAATCTAGGTATAGGACCACTAAATGTAGTAAAAAATCAAGGTGACAGAGAACAATCGTCAGTCACAGAATCCTTCAAAATAACCTTTTACAAATATTTGTGATACATTTTAAAATAAACATACTTTTTTCAATCAGTTAATCTGTTTTATAACTTAAATGTTAATTATTTTCATTAATTACATGTTGAACACGTTTTGCCTGTTTTGCAAAAAATATTTCCACTGTGTCCGTAACGCCAATAAAATCTCCGTTGCGTATTTTAATGATACCTCTTGTTCCCTGCCCGACATTAGACTAGAACGATCGTCTATAGACTGGCTATTTGGCACATTATTTATTAGGTAGATAAAATTAGATAATTATAAAAAGAATATGATATTCAAATATGGCACTATCACTTCAGTTAAACGTTTATTTTAATCTCTTAAAGCTCTGTAACATGTTGTACATCAGAAAACAAGAAAAAGATGCTCAAAATCAAGTCTAAAATTTCCCCCATTGCTATATGAACAAATGCATATCTAATAGATTGCTACTAGATTACTAATTGCACGCGCCGTCTATAAAAAGAAATTTTAAGCAAGTTACCTATACATGTGGAGTGGAATAGACTAAATGTAGTCATTCTGTTTCTACACAGTGCAGTAGATTGTCACAGCTTTCATTTCATTTTATATAAGTTGTAAAAAAACAAGGAAACTTTCGAGATTGGTGAAAATGCTGCAGTTTGATTGAACCTGTTCATGTACTGTAGTGGTAAATGCTAGCTATTGGTTTGATTGAACCTGTTCATGTACTGTAGTGGTAAATGCAAGCTATTGGTTTGATTGAACCTGTTCATGTACTGTAGTGGTAAATGCAAGCTATTGGTTTGATTGAACCTGTTCATGTACTGTAGTGGTAAATGCTAGCTATTGGTTTGATTGAACCTGTTCATGTACTGTAGTGGTAAATGCAAGCTATTGGTTTGATTGAACCTGTTCATGTACTGCAGTGGTAAAATGCAAGCTATTGGTTTGATTGAACCTGTTTCATGTACTGTAAGTGGTAAATGCAAGCTATTGGTTTGATTGAACCTGTTCATGTACTGTAGTGGTAAATGCAAGCTATTGGTTTGATTGAACCTGTTCATGTACTGTAGTGGTAAATGCAAGCTATTGGTTTGATTGAGCCTGTTCATGTACTGTAGTGGTAAATGCAAGCTATTGGGTTTGATTGAGCCTGTTCATGTACTGTAGTGGTAAATGCAAGCTATTGGTTTGATTGAACCTGTTCATGTACTGTAGTGGTAAATGCAAGCTATTGGTTTGATTGAACCTGTTCATGTACTGTAGTGGTAAATGCAAGCTATTGGTTTGATTGATGAACCTGTTCATGTACTGTAGTGGTAAATGCTAGCTATTGGTTTGATTTGAACCTGTTCATGTACTGTAGTGGTAAATGCAAGCTATTGGTTTGATTGAACCTGTTCATGTACTGCAGTGGTAAATGCAAGCTATTGGTTTGATTGAACCTGTTTCATGTACTGTAGTGGTAAATGCAAGCTATTGGTTTGATTGAACCTGTTCATGTACTGTAGTGGTAAATGCAAGCTATTGGTTTTATTGAACCTGTTCATGTACTGTAGTGGTAAATGCAAGCTATTGGTTTGATTGAACCTGTTCATGTACTGCAGTGGTAAATGCAAGCTATTGGTTTGATTGAACCTGTTCATGTACTGTAGTGGTAAATGCTGCAGACTTGGTTTGATTGAACCTGTTCATGTACTGTAGTGGTAAATGCTAGCTACCGTCTGTGCCCCTAGGCTTAAACAGAACACATGAAAATGGTGAACATTTTGAATTCATTAAAAATATAATGTTTAATAGATTGTCAAATATATATGGGTTTTTTTTTGCTTACTTTTAAATTCCTTAACAGTTCTGTACAACATATTATTTTGGTATTTCTCTTCTTGATGTCCACCAAATACAGGAAGAACCGCCAGGATTAGAAGGAGAATCACTGTTATATCAGCCACATAGGGATATCAATATTGACATGGACAAAATCGTGGAACATCTTCCCTGTAAGTTGGATATTTATTTCTTTTGTTTACTTAGTAAATATAAAAAAGCGATCTCATCACATGACTTTTTTGTTGTTTAATATAATATAAAAATACACATTATCATATTACGCTTGTAAGAAAATTAATTCTCCATATAATAATATAAATACTTTACAAAGAATATCTAAACAAATTGGTGACCAAAGATCAATGATGAGATTGTAACTTTGTGTGCACCTTGCAAGACATCAGTGTTATGAAAGAAATTACTTACATAACCATTAATGTAAATTTCTGCTATTTCAATTAATGTAAATTTTAGTATGACTTTTAAAAAGAAATCAAGCTATTGCTACAGTCATGTCATCAGTTGAGAATTGCAGACTCGGTTGGATAGAGTCTGTACATGAGGGATAATGAATAAGTGCAACATCCCTCACGCCCCCTAGCACGGGCTTGAGCGGTACTCAGTTCTCAACACTTAATAGTGCTGGCATCAATAATCCCGAAGAACCAGAAAAATATAACAACACCCATTTGGTAAAAAGACTTGTAAAGTAAAGATGTTTTAAAAATCTTCTTTGAAAGTACAAAGCCAAAAGTTAAGATATTTTGGATGTAGCATCACCTTGTGGTACTCCACAAAGCTTATATAAATCATGACCCTGAGTTTAAAATTTAGTAGATTAGTTTCTATGAACATATACTGAACCAAAAAAGAAACTTTCGCAAAGTATGTGCCAGTTGTTCAAGGGTACCACTTAGATGTACACACTTATATACATGTAGTAGCTTGTAAAACTTGTTTGTTTGCAAAATAGGTCAGCTAATCCCCGTATAAAAGCCCGATATGTTTATTCAACGTAAAAATCGAGTTTCAAATGGATTGAAAAACTGTACTAGCATATCTACATTCAAACTTGGAGAAAGTTTCTTTTTTGTTTCAGTATATTTAGTAAAAAAGTTTTTGTCTTCTTTTGTGTTCAATACTTTCAAAAGCTTAGATATTTTGTGTGAAAAAAGCTTAGATATTTTGTGTGAAGTATTGTGATCCTCTAGAATATTCAAAAATGGTGCCAAGCCATGGTGAGTTAGTTTATACTAACAAGGGGGTCATTGGCCCCAAAGCACTCATCTGAAGACAGACTGTTATTTGTGTAAAAGCAGTAAAAGCATGTGTTTCACAAGAATTTGAAAGATGTTGGTCACTAGACCATACCTCAACCAAAATACATTTTTTAATTTGTACTATATACCTGGTCCTTATTTTAAAGCATCAGACAAGAAAGTAGGTCACTAGGTCAATATTTAGGTCATTTGATAAAAAACACCTGAAACTGTGCACATGGTCAAAATGTCATAGCTGTATATAAAAAAAAAGCCAAAGTAGGTCACTTCATCAAAATCTATGTAAGTTAATACCAAAGTTCATGATCCAAATTTCATAGCTGTACATCAAAGGACACGAAAGTAGGTCACTTTGTCAAAATCTAGGTCAGCTGATGACAAAGTTTAATTTTACATTAAAAACTGTGCACACGGTCCAAATTTCATCAAAGGACAAGAAAGTAAATCACTTCATCAAAATCTAGATCAGCTGAAATCAAAGTTAAGTTTTACACTTCAAACTGTGCACATATGGTCCAAATTTCATCAAAGGTCTCTCCCTTTTGGCAGGAAAAAATTTGACCCCAAGGCTTTAAGTTAAACAATCTTGATACAAGTACACCAGACAATGTTTCATGTCAAATATCTCTAGCTCCAATTTTCTCCTTTTCAGAAAACAGTTTTTATGCAACTGCAGCATCTGGGATGTGGTGGCATATAGCGATTTACCTCTGTGTGTGTGTGTGTGTGTGTGTGCGTGCGTGTGTGCGTGTGTGAATTTAAAAAATCTTCTAGTTGAAAACCACTAGTCTGATTTCAACCAAATTTGCCAGGATTGTTCCTTGGGAGAAGGTCTTCCACAGTTGTTCAAAGAATTTGATTCCATTTAAGGAATTGGGTTGCCGTGGCAACCATAAGGAATAACCGTTAGGGCAAAGGTCAATGTCATACTTTAAGGTCAAATGTAAAAAAATGGTCTCAAACAGCTTGTCCGCACCATAACTCAATCACTAGCTGGTGGAATTTCAAATAACTTGGCACAAATGTTTATCATTATGAGATGGCATGTTGCACGCAAGAACTGTGTGGCTAGGTCAAAGGTGAAGGTCATACTACAGTCTGGATTATGCTTGTTTGGGTCATAACTCTGTCATTAGTTGGCAGAATTTCAAATAACTTAGCATAAATGTTCACAATAATGAGATGGCATACTGTGTGCAAGAATTGTGTGGCTAGGTTAAAAGTCATACTTTGAGGTCAAATGCAAAAAATGGTCTTGAACAGATTGTCCAATCGTAACTCTTTCACTAGCCAACCGTAACTCTATCAGTAGCAATTGGTCTGAAAGTTTGTTTTGATGATTTTTAGGTCAAGTTTTCAAAGGGGGATGTGCCCCCTTCTGTTTGGGGGGTTTGAAGGGGGGCGGTAGTCCCCCTCATCGTCAAGAAAATTTTGTACTTGTGAGAGGCTAAAAATGACCCCAGATCGATCATAAGGTACCGTGTAACCAACGCTGAAAAGCATTTGACTCTATCTCAATCCATTGAGAAGTTGCAGCACTTTGAAATCAATTTTGATGGAAAAAATCAACGCAAAAGTGTGATTTTTGGCAATTTTGAGATGTCCCCTCGTTGCCATGGTAACCTTGTTGCCATGGTAACAGGAAATTTAAGCCTGAGCATGTTGTTGCAAAGGCAATGGTCCAGTCAATACTTGTGCCAAGTTTGATTAGTATTGAAGCAGTTTTTAGCTCACCTGTCACAAAGTGACAGGGTGAGCTTTTGTGATCGCTTTTTGTCCGGCGTCCGTCCGTAAACTTTTACTTTAAATGACATCTCCTCATAAACCACTAAGCCAATTTCATCCAAACTTCACAGGAATGTTCCTTTGGTGGTCACCTTAAAAAATTGTTCAAAGAATTTAATTCCATGCAGAACTCTGGTTGCCATGGCAACCGAAAGAAAAAACTTTAAATATCTTCTTTTAAAAAACCATAAGAGCTAGAGCTTAGATATTTGGCATTTAACATCTTCTAGTGAGTGTCTACCAAGTTTGTTCAAATAAAAGCCCTGGGGTCAAAATTGGCCCCGCCCCAGGGGGTCATTGATTTTCCCTATATGCATATAGTAAAAACTTAAAAAATCTTCTTTTAAAGAACCCAAAGAGCTAGAGCTAAGATATTTAGCATGAAACATGTTCTAATGGGTGTCTATCAAGTTTGTTCAAATAAAATCCCTGGGGTCAAAATTGGCCCCGCCCCGGGGGTCATTGATTTTCCCTATATGCATATAGTAAAAACTTAAAAAATCTTCTTTTAAAGAACTCAAAGAGCTATGGCTAAGATATTGAGCATCAAACATGTTCTAATAGGTGTCTACCAAGTTTGTTCAAATAAAAGCCCTGGGGTCAAAATTGGCCCCGCCCCAGAGGGTCATTGATTTTCCCTATATGCATATAGTAAAAACTTAAAAAATCTTCTTTTAAAGAACCTAAAGAGTTAGAGCTAAGATATTTGGCATGAAACATGTTCTAATAAGTGTCTACCAAGTTTGTTCAAATAAAAGCCCTGGGGTCAAAATTGGCCCTGCCCCGGGGGGGTCATTGATTTTCCCTATATGCATATAGTAAAAACTTAAAAAATCTTCTTTTAAAGAACTCAAAGAGCTATGGCTAAGATATTTAGCATCAAACATGTTCTAATAGGTGTCTACCAAGTTTGTTCAAATAAAAGCCCTGGGGTCAAAATTGGCACCGCCCCGGGGGTCATTGATTTTCCTTATATGTGTATAGCAAAAACTTAAAAAATCTTCTTTGAAAAAACCCAAATAGCTAGAGTTAAGATATTAAGCATGAAACATCTTTTAGTGAGTGTCTACAAAGTTTGTTCAAATAAAAGCGCTGGGGTCAAAATTGGCCCCGCCCCGGGGGTCATTGATTTTCCTTATATGTGTATAGCAAAAACTTAAAATCTTCTTTGAAAAAACCCAAATAGCTAGAGTTTAGATATTAAGCATGAAACATCTTCTAGTTAGTGTCTACAAAGTTTGTTCAAATAAAAGCCCTGGGGTCAAAACTGGCCAGGCCCCAGGGGTGTCATTGTTTTTAACTATATGTGTATAGTAAAATCTTCTTTTAAAAAGCCCAATGAGCTAGAGCTTAGATGTTTAGCATGAAACATCTTCTTATGGGTGTCTACCAAGTTTGTGCAAATAAAAGCCCTTGGGTTAAAATTGGCCCTGCAACGTTGGGGGGGGGGGGGGTGGAGGGGGCCTATATACAGGTGAGCGACCTCAGGGCCATCATGGCCCTCTTGTTATAGTTTTATAGCAATTTGAACTTGTAACGGGAGACTTTTCAATGAAAACAGCCATTTTTTCACAAAATGCTCATGAAGTAATGGGTAAATTGCTATCAAACTTTGTCAGGATGCTTGCCTAGTTAATTGCTCAGATGGGACATCTTGGATGAAAAACTAGGTCACAGGAGCTAAATATAGAAATCAAAGCACAGAAGGTGCTGAATTTGTTTGGGTCTCAGAATGTAAGAAAGGTGCAGGTTGTGAGATTATATGTTTAGTGCCACCAATGCTTTCCAGCGTTTTAATTGTAGTAAATTGGCTATAAGACTAATTGCAACACTGATATTCAATCCAATGTTTATTTGACTTTAACAATTTAAAAAAAATGAGTTACCTTTACTGGGATTTGAACTCCAGACCTCTCGCTTCCTAAGCGAGCCCGAAAACCCTTCAGCCACGGTTAAATTTATATGTAAACGGCCTGAAGAAAACCATATTATTCTAAATTAGGGCTTGTAACGACTTTTAACTGTTGTTTAACACAGATGTAAATAATCCTGAAGCTTACTATAAGCATGTATATTTATAAAGAATCAAAGGGCTTCAAGTTCTT